AACATGTGGTAAATGCACCAGCTGCAACGTCAAAGGTACTCCAGCTGTAAAACCTGGTGGCAAAAGTTACATCCTCCCACCGAGCAAAGGAATCTCCAAGTAGCTCCATGTGCAGTATTGATCCAGGGATAACATCACAGCTCATTGTTTCACTGAGCCTGATCCAAATGTATCTGAATTTTTAATGGTTTGGTTTGTTTTACTAATTTGTTGTTTATACAGAATATTCTGTTAAGAAGTCTTCAATGATGTCTTGTGTTAAACTGCATACAGCTAACTTGTGTTATAAAGATATAACTTGTGAATAAAAATAGAATAAATAGGTATGGTAAAATCAGTACACTGTTTAATATACTATGTTAAAGATAAATTATGAAATAATAGTATGGAATCAGATGAAGTACATTTCTTGCACTATTAGATTCTTGGACAAAAATGGCAAACACACACAAAAAAAAAAAAAAGCACATCAGAGCTTTATTTTACACCTACAAAGTTCCTGATAGGGTTTCACAATGACTGCCACAATTCAAACAGAACACAGGCAGGCACAGAGGTGTCTGAAAAGCAGGAAACACTAAGCAATGTGGATGAAAGAAAGTCTAATTAGCCAGCTTTATGATAGCAAAAAATGACTGAAATTTGAACCTTGCTGTATTTAAAAGCCTGCATGTCACATTTCCCCAGACAGCTCTTCTGAAAGGTTGACCCATTCGTTTCAATACAGTGGCCACTCAACATCACCAAGAAAGACAGCACATCTCCAAAGCACTGTATGGAAATTCTTCCTCTAAATGTAGAATGTGAAGCCAAAGGTACAAAAGCAGTTAATTTATCACAGAAGCAGAGATTCCTACAGTAACTAATTCAAACTGCTGATGATGCACTAAATCAGAGTGAGTGATGAACACATACACAGCAGCAAGTGAAGTTCAAAAGGATACAGATCTATGTGATCAATGAGCTGCCACATGGCAACGAAATGCAGTGTTGACAAACGTTCAGCAACAGAGATGAAGCTCCAAAATAATCAAACCAAGTATAAGAAAAATCTAAATACAACAGTGTTAAAATGTCTCATTACGGAGCTGAAGGTGGCTCTTTACACACATCTAAGTACCAGAACATCAAACCATTAGGCCCTCTCTCTATATTTAATATGAAAAAAATCCCAAAACACTGATAACCTGAAGTGTTGTCTTGCCATAAAGCATCAAAATCTAGGAAATATAACATATTGACATCAGTCATGTAAGCAAACATATATTTCAAGCATACAGATTAGGAAAAACAGCTTACAGATTAAAATCTCCTACAAATCTAATATTATATTGCATGTTTCTGCCCTAAGTGGTGACTGAAGGATAAGGCCAACTTACAGCTCCCTCCTTTACCAACCTATGCAGTTCAGAAACATAATCAAATCAAGTGGTGCTGACCAACCCTCTTCATACTCTAACCTCTGTCCTAGCTGATTAATGGTGTTTTAACTGAAAAGCAACACCACTTTGAAAGAAGAGTACAGGCATTCAGTGACATGGAACTCTTGAATTTCCTTGGAGCATAAGAAACTTTCCACATCATGACAGATGTCAGGACTTTCAAAAAAAGGAAGAAATCACCTACTGTGAGGACACATTAGACATTTTCTACAAAAATAATAGCTGTGACTTTCTCATATGCAAGTGTCACAAGCTGTGGCTATTATTGTCATTATCCAATTATTCATTACAGCAAATATAAATATGTTATTTTAGGTTTGTCTATGGAATGCTACGTGAAAACAGTGAGAAAGATCTGTCTTTGCTACTAAATCTTCTGTCTGAAAATGTCATGATTCAAGACATCATACGTCTTTGAAGGGCTTCCAGAAATCATACCTTCCCTAGGCAGTCATTTGGCTGCAGTGTTACTGTGGAACTTCCACATTACAATTCCGTGGTCTTTCACAGTATGTTTACTGTGACAAGAACAGCCAAGTTATTCTTGACAGATATGAATCTCTCCAAAGCCATCTACACTGTAAAACTGAGCATCTCTACTACAATTTTCCCTCCATGCAGACTCCTCAACAGAACAGTCTGCTGAACTGTTAAGGATCATGTGCGCCTTTGTACATTTGCTTCAGCTTATATTCACTTTTAAAGTATATCCAACAAAAGCACCATTCTCCATCATTTTTCTTGTTCTCCTTAACACAGCTGATTGTTTTCTTTGACATACAAGGTATTTTTCTCCCTCAAACTACACTGATCTGTTTGTCCAAAAGCCCACCTGCCAGGTGGTAGCATGTAATCTGACTAAGAAAAAAGTGGTAATGAACAAAAACGGTAGCTATCCCATTAGCTTGTTGCTCTAAATCTTATCTTTTCCTCTCCTTAACCCAAAGGCTAGCATATTTGTTTGAGCTTCTTTTCTATAAAAGCTTTAATTCTGTAGCTCTTAATTAGGTGGGGAATCATAGCTTGATTTCAATGACACCACAAACAATCAACACAAACACAAATAAAGCGATAGTCATTTTGGTTTATGTTAGTGTAATAAGACTACAGGAATACTCTTTTTTTTATCATCTGTGAAACATTTAAGGACATACTTAATAAACTGAAAAGAACGCAAATAATATTAATACTATTAACAACGATGTGCTTCATATACTGGAGGCTAATGAAAAACAAAGCAAATAAAGTGAAGGTCCTTCAGAACTCAGTTACTCAGCAAGCCATTAGAATAACCCATGAGGAATGAACCATCAAGTGCACTTTCAGAGTATTCATTATTTGAAGAGAGTTATAAATAGTAGTAATACTTGATTCTGCAGGTATCCTTGAGAAAGGCCATTTAGTTGAACATTACAATTCCATCATAAAGCTGGATTCAGGCAACATAATGCTAAACCCCAAGTAATGGCACCATGGCTAAAGAGCTAAAAAGCCTGAACCAATGCATTGCACAAAGGGTAAGTTAATCCTCCAGTTCCCTTTTACCATTAGCAAATCTAGCCTCCCAACACTACAGTTCAGGAACATTATTTTGTTATATCCACAAAACATAAAGAATTAAGTGATTGACAGACATTTCCAATCGTATAATTTGTATCTTACGAACAAGCTTATGAACTTTATGTTTTATTTTGTTCAATCTGGAGACATACATATGGAAAATCTCTGTCTGGATTTCAAACAGTTTTTTATAAGAAAAAAAGCAGGTTTTTCCAACTGTCTTTTTTAATTTTTTTTGTTGTTTTTTTATAAAAAGAAGTTAGATTACCATCT